ATTTTTTTGTTGACTAAAAACATATAAGAAAATTCAAAAAAATGATATTCGTTACAAGATTTTGAAAATTAAAGTGTTAATTTAAGTAACTTCCAATCATTTTATTGATAAAAATGATAATTTGAATGAACCAATAGAAAAAATAGCACAATTTTGTACAGAAAAACTAAAATTTAAGCTGGTAATAATGAAGTTATTAAAGGTTGTTTACACACAAAATACCCTTTCCCGAAAATTCTACGTCATCGGTGGATATTCGAATGGCTCTACAGAAGGAACTAGACATGCTAGAAAAACGATAATGGTGTCAAATTCTTTGTCTCGGCGAATCCTATAATACTAATAAAGAAAAAAATTCAGTTTCATGGAAAAAAATCGCAAAAAATGACTAAAAGTGGTCTCCGATGACGTAGAATTCATTTTTGACGGGCCCCTTGTAAATTATTCAGGACAGAATTTATGAAATAATTTTATAGGATTCGCATAATTATGTCATAAATTTATGAATCAATTTGTATGGCTTCATTGCAGAGCTTTACATAATTCAGATATAAATTGAAACTATTTAACTTTTCCCTTTTGAATAAATCATTTTAGGTTCAATTGATATGAACTTTTAATTGAAAAGTTTTGGTTTTTGCGGGATTTCGTCTAGATTGCGTTATTTTGTTAAAATCAGAGGTGTTTGATGATTTGTTTGAATATTTTATGGTTGATTTACAGCATTTGAATGGGTTTCAATTTATTAATATATTTGAGGTAGTCAAAATTCTATAAATCATCTAGATTTACATGAGTTTATCTGTTTAAAGCTCACGATCAATAGTTGCACGTGTTATATTGTCTCTAATGGTTAGTAATAGGATACTTTAGGGCAATTCTGGGTTTATTTGATCTACAGTGTATAAAGTGATCTACTCTTTTGATGATATAACTGACTTCTCTTTAAAAAGAGAGACTTTAGGGTTTAGTTCAACGACAATTTTTTAAAAAAATAATCAAAATGTCCCAATTGAGTCTTATAATATGATGGTACATTAAAAGTGGAACCACTTCTCGGTTTCTTTTAAGTTGACTATTAATTAGGCTTCCTAGTAGATATTGCTATAGAATACAATATTCTGCAATTAAAGGATTTGCTTACGAATATAAAATATACAAAAATGACTAAAATTTCACTCAATTGTAATGCAGTTACAAAAGGTGTTGTCAGTTTAAAACCAGCCCACCGAACCCCTCTCCACAGATAAATTAATCACAATTCCTATAGATAACGCAACACTGCATCATTTTCATGGCCTCGTGTTCATCATTTTAATCCATTTTCATTTAAATTACAAATGCTTTTAACAGAACTTCATTTTATTTACAATTTTTGTTCTGTGGTGTATTCAGCGTTTTTGAAAATAATTCCAAATCCATTATCGTTCATCAATATTATTTGTGAGACTCGAGGACATTTGAGAGTAAAAACATTTCAATCAGTATTTATCTTCCAAAATGCCACCCTATTTGAAGGACATGGAAAATGTTTTGTGCTCAAATAGCTTTGAAATCTAGCTTAATCCTTCTTAAAGCTTAGGATATAAGGAAGAAAAATCGATTTTGTATTTTTAGGGTCGATTTTAAATGATGTCTATGAATGAATAATAGTTTCAGACCTCCGTGCTCGAAGTGGGATGAGGAGGATGTGAATTATTAAAGGTAGGCAGGTAAAGGTTTTAAAAACTGAGCTAGGTATTTTTTTACAAAACCCGTAATTTTTCTGCATTATTTCTAATATTATCGAATCGGTTAAATTTGAGTCAAACTTTTTTTATAACCTAGAAAATAGTTCATGGTCTTGTAAGTCCCTCTAAATGATAAATACCAGTAAACATTACATGTAAACAACCCCTCAATTCCTTTCAGCTTTCTTATATAATAATCATTATCATTGCTATCAATAACGATAAACACTTAACATCATTTTCATTTTTAAGATGGAAAAACAAAGACTAAAAGGAAAGAACAACATCCAAGCGACACACAAAAGCAAAATCCATCACAAGAAAAAGAAAGAATAAAGACAGAGAAGGAAAAATCTGCACAGGCGACAATGAAGAATGAGTAAAAAGTCTTTGAGACAGATGGTTGATGAAAATCCCATTTTTTTTCTGTCATCGAACAAATAAAAGTGGGTTTGGAGACTGTTACTTGACTAATGCCACACCGCATTCTTCTTTCTTTTCTGTTCTATTAATTCAGCACATAAAGTTTGTCGAACATTTAATTTTATTATTTGTTCCTTGCTATGTCTTTGCTGCTGCTGCTCCCTACACTTATTACTCTCCATGTCAACTTTTTTCGTTTATTGATTGTGTCAACAACATTATGAAGTGTGTCTTTTGTCTCATTCTTTTTTGCTGTCTTCCCTACTGTGAAACTTTTTCAATATTTTTCGGACATATTTTTCACTTCAGATGGAGTCAATGTGCTGATGGAAGCAATGGATATAATGGATTTTCAAAAAAATGTTGATGCTGTTATTGATTTTGAGTGAAAAAAATATTCTTTAATGTTGTGGATAGAAGTTCTTGTCCTGGTTCAGTCAAATTTAATTTGTGTTATAAATTTCTGTTTGTCACATGGATTTAAGTGCTTATTTCTGGTTCTTTTTGATAGTAACATCTGATGCTCTACTTTTCAACACGTTTTTCAATCGGAAGTGCACTTGAAGAGCTCTTGAACAAAGAAGATAACGATGAATAGCATTTGATATAAAGAAGTGAACATCAAAAGAATATTTGCGCTGTGATCCATTTGTCAATGATATGTTTATAGAGCACAAGCATAAACATTGATTCAAATCATTTTATTGGTGACTAATTCTGTTTAAGATATTCGAAAACTTTTCAAATTGGTATGCACATGTCTGTACAAGTAAAGACAATTTCAGCATAAAGCACTATTTATGTGTCCCCAGAATAATTCATCTCCAAGAACTAATCTTACCATTAAAATATTGAGACCAGTGTTGCAAATGTAGATGTCTACACTAGATGAAGAATGTAGATTCTTCAATAGTTTTTGTCTAGCTAAGAAACTTTCTTCATAAAGATCGATTCTTCATGTAGAAAGAAAAAAACCATCTACATGTAGATTGTGTCTACATGTAGAATCTGTCTACATGTAGATTCGATGTAGATGTCTATAATTCTACATTTTTTTCCAGGTCTACATCAGAGAAGAATGTAGAATCGTAGACATCTACATTAAATCTACATGTAGAGAGATTCTACATGTAGACACAATCTACATGTAGATGGTTTTTTTCTTTCTACATGTAGAATCGATTTTATGAAGAAATTTCTGTCTCAGAATTTATCTGATCCAGACAAATAGCCAGAATGCAACACTGATTGAGACACCATAAATTTTTGTCTTCTTCTTTGTCACACAACATAAACAATGCTCAAAATCAGTCACTGTCTGCTCAGTATTCCTTGTTCAGTCATTTACTCATTCTCATCAACAAAACTCCTTTCAGTTTCATCCATAAATCAGTCAAACTTCAAAAGCATAACAATGTCTGAAACGACATATAGATATTATAAATTTTAAGGCATATCCTTCAAGAGCACACAGAAATAAATTTATCAAGTATCCCTTTGCAATCACTTTCTCTGCTTGTTTTTCCTTTTTTAATCAATTTTACTGTTGTGTTGATGATGAAGAGGATGCTGATGTCCTTTCCAACTGCATATTTGTTTGATGACTTGCCACATATACATGATGAGGATGCTGATGTCCTTGCAGATGTTCTCTTTCAGCATTTTCAGGATCTCAATGAAATAAATCATCACTTGTATAATTCATGAAAATTGAAATTTTATCGTTTCTTAAAAAAGGAATTCAGACTTTGACACTAAAACTTGATTGAAGTGAAGCCGAAATTTTTACAATGAGCATCAGTTGTATCACATCAAAATGGAACTAAAATAAAGAAATGATATTATCTAAAAGAGCTTGATAAATTTTCTGAACTTAATATTCACTTTATTCAAAGATTTTGATGAATTCATTTAAGTTCCATACATCATAGATTTAAATTTAACATAACTTAGAGGAAGTGGATGGAATTATTTGTCTTTTCGCATTAATTTGTTTATGATTGATTCAGAAATATTTCTCTCATTGATCCTCAAATGTTGAACAAGTCTATTGATTCCAATTATGTTGGTCTAATAGACACTAGTTCAAATGTAATTCCTTTAATGATAATTAAATTTATAAATCTCTAGATATTTCCATGAAAAATATTTCACATTCCAAGAATTTTGACGGCTTTAAGTATGATTTAAGTTGTCTATCTAGTCAACTCTTGCTCTTTAGTTACCTTATACAATTGTCACATCGATGAGTTGTATGCCTAGCATTAATACGTAAAAATAATATTTTTATATCCACACCGTTTTCACGTGTGAATCTATTGGTTTAGTTCAGATTGAAAAATCAGTTTTTTTTTAATTTTGTGAGGAAATTGAGCAAAATAGCTTAACATGTGCAAAAACGAAAAGTTTGTGCCAGAAATTTCACATCTTCTGCAAAAAACAGATTTCAAATTGGTTGAGGCATTGCTGAGAAAATCGCTAGCTTTATATCTTCAAACTTATGCTGAGTGAAGCTCAGCTGACTCGCTTGCTTTATATCTTCAAACTTATGAACAGGCTTTATACCTTCAGACTTTTGAATATACATATCAGCATTGGGTTTCTACCCGATGCACTAGTTCGTTCAGTGACTGGAATATTTTTTAATTTAAGCTTAGCTGATTGTTTGAAAACAAATATTTTAAATTGCCGTTAAAAAAGCTTTAAAGCACAAGAAAAGAAACGAATGAAAATTCAGTTAAGAATTAAACTTAAATGTTCATATTGAAAATCACACAGAAAAAAAATTCCAGCAACCTTTGAAAAAATTTTCTTTCATTCAACGATTTTCATTGGAATAGAGTGCATCGAAAATTTTTAAAATAATTTTTATCATCGAAAATTAATCAACAATAAGCTTCAATCATCAAGTTTTAAGCAACAAGGTTCAACCATCAACGTTCAATCAAAAATTGGACATCGAGAAAAAGGTTTCATCATCAAGATTTCATCTTGAAAATTTCATCGTGAACAACGGTTCATCATCAACAATTCATCAAGCAATCATTGATTGTATTTATTCAGCAACAATGCAGACGAGTGATCAAAATTGTGATCAACTGATCAAGCGTATTGAAGTAAGTGACAAGAACTTGTTTGATTTAAATTATATATGCAGGATATTTTGAAAAGATTAAGAAGCAATTAATCTGCGATACTTACCATGAATTACTGGAACTATGTTCCTATCTGGAGCTTAGGTTACAACAAAGATTTATATCTGTCTTTGTTGCTTGCTATGTCACCTGGCTTGTGCAATTTTTGAACAAACTTGTACTCAGTTGATCTTAATCTCCAAAAGCTTTTCATTCAATTGCCAAATTTCTGAGACTTATGAGACTTTAGCATCTATTAACGTAAACTTGTAGCTGATCTCTCCAATTGAATTCGCGTGTTTATGTGGTTCAATGCACTTGATGTTACTTCCGACATTAGTGAAGTTTAACCTGATTGATAATTTCGTTTTCCATAAACAATACCCCAAGTAACCAAAATGTTCCATATAATCTTCCTTCGATGTAGATGGAAGATCAAATGTATCATTATTTATTATATGTAAAATAGTTGTTTTACAAACATGTAACAAAAGTGTTCCATCGAAGTATAACCCGAGCCCTCTTAAGTTCAAATCCTGCGAAAAATCATGAAAAAAATATTTTTTTGCAGGAAAATAATATTTGTTCTAAATTTGCCATTTGCCATATACTTCAAAAGTGCTCGCAGAAATCACTATTATAAGTTCTCTTTAAATTTGTATAGGTCTTACAATAAATTCATAGGATCCAATTTCATAGAACATCATCTTCCGATGGATAATACATATGTATCATCCATGGAAGATTCTCATGGAATACATTGATCTACCTTTTGGTTACTTGGGACTTTCTGCGTTCACTAGAATCACCTCAGTCTTCTTAATGTCTAAATGTAAGAATGTCAACATGTGTCGTGTTTACTCAACAATTTCTCAGTTCTTAAAATAAGTTTTGACACCAATTTGCACATTAATGATAAATCAATTCCATGTGACAAAATTTCAAATGCTGAAAGTCTTGCAGGTCTCACACTGAATTGCGTAACACAAAGCAGCAATCTAGGTCCATTGATCTTTAATATGATGCACTAGGATCTTAAATTTGGACCTTTTGATGTTCAAAGCTCTTTTCCTCTCTACTCAGATTTTTGTGCCACAGTCTTGCTTTCTTGATTTCTTCAAACTTGAATCAACTTAAAAATCTCACTTAACATATTTTAAATAATAATTTATGTTTCATTATTACTCTTTTCAGGATATGAATGCGAAACTTCAAGACGACTTTATTCGTGGCTTACCGCTTGGACTATGTCACAACGAGTATCTCACATGGATGGAACTCAGCGATCTCATTGTAAGTTAACGATACATTTATAACTTTTCAACACTCCTTCTTCCTCTAATATGTCATACGTGTAGCCAATAAGTCATTACCCTTTTTAAGACTAAAACCTTTAGCTACCTTTAGATCTCTTCAATATTTTTCTACTTGTATGAAAACTTCTTTGCTTTTATACCATTCCAAGTAGTTGTTAAAAATGTCATATTCATCACAAATCGTTTAAATTTATAGTTGTACCTTTTGTGTTTCTCCCGATGTCCTTTCTTGTCATAAATTTATTCACATGCCTTTCTATAGTTTATTAATGTTGTGTTTTTCGTGCATGATACTTTTCTATACTTTTAAAGTTTTTCATGTATTTCTGTCATAAGTCTCGATATTTTGCTTATCGTGTAAGAGTCTAGCCCTAGCAGAAATTTACTAGTAATTTACGCTTCTAAGTCATCTGGCAGACGGAATTTCTAGGAACTTTTCTTAGGAATTCCTAGAAAGTTTTCTGCGATTTCCTTAAAAAAATTCCTTAGACTTCCTATCATTATGGCCCAAACTTCCTTAGTTTTTAGAAGTAATTCATAGTAAATCTAGGAATTCGTAATTTTTTTAAAAATTCGCAGAAGATATATTTTTTTTTGTAATAATTGCGATTCGCAAAAATATTTTTTAAAAAATTCCTAAGACAATTAGGAAGTTGTAGAAATTCCTAGAAACTTCCTAGTAAGACTAGGAATTACTAGAAAATCCTAATCATTCCTAGAACCCTCGTTAGAATAATTATAAAATGTTTATGTTTACTATGATTTCCTAGTATATCATATGATTTCCTAGTATATCATATGATTTCCTAGGAAATCACAGAAAGTTCTTGAGGGGATTTCCCCAAAATCCTAGGAAATACTAGAATTACTTATATTTTCTAGGATTTATCAGGATTTCTTAGGATTACCTAGAATATTTCAGGCTGTACTAAAGAAATCCCAAAAATTTTGAGAAATATTAGAAAATTCAACCCGAAAACGCCGATGGCTGAACGATTTTTTATATCATTTTTAAAAATATCTTCTATGCAAAAGCGAGTATGTTATTTGTTTTTGTCAGAATACAATTGACTATATCGCCAAAAGTTTCTATTCAAACAAATTAAGATTTAATAGAATTCTGTACTTTTCTGTACAGCTTCATAACACAGGTGTAAGTTTTTGGGTCTATATGACATGCAGCTGTAAATTGAGGTGGCTAAAATCGAAGCAAAAATAGTGACTTGTTTACCGAACTAATTCTGATCGGCATTTTTCGCCAGACTTTTTGTAAAAGGAAATATTATAGTCAAATTTGCAAAAGTTTAATGAACAAGTACCGATAAGCGTACCTAAGCAATACGCATTATCTTTAATTAAAGCTGTTTGTTATTCAAAATAAAGGTCAAATTTGCAGCTATAATTTAATCTAGGAATTTCAATACCGGCCCAAAATTTCAATCCGGTATTGGAAATTGTTGATCCTGGGATCCCGGGTTTAAACCCGGTATTAGATTCGTTTCAGAAACTACGGTATAAAACTGCATTTAACATGTTCAAAATTAGAGATTTCAATTCCAATCAGGTGTATTAGTCATTGAAAAAAATTTTGAATTGAAAACTAAGCCAGAAAGTTAAAGTTTTTCCAAATGTATAGGGTTACCATCTAGTTTTCATGAAAATACAGGACATTTGGTAAATTTTTTCGAAAAAAACAGGACATAGAGTAAAATTCGAAAATTAACGGAAATTTTCATGAAAAAAATACAGGACCAGGAACAAAATTTAAAAATTTATACAGGACAGGGTTTTGAAATACAGGACTGTCCGTTGTAAAACTACGCAGATGGTCACCCTCCAAATGTATCAATATTTCCTTTTCTTGTCTTGTCTGAACTTTTTAACTTTACAACTAAAGCTTTTGTTTTTACAAAGATTATCTTTTAACTTTACATATCAAAAATTATTTAAAATTTTAAAAATTGCAAAAATTTGATTTTTTTGTCGAGCTATTATGATTTTTTGTCAAAACTTTTAAAACTTTTGCTTTAAAAAAAATCAGTAGCTTTAATTTTTAATTTAAATAATAGATTTTATCGCAGCTTTATTAGAGATGCATTCAAAAGATCATAAAATCTATTTAAAATTCAAATTTTTTAAAAAATTTGGAAATTTCAATGGGCATTTGACAACACTTATTTCTAACATTTTAAAAAAAAATTGAAAAGAAAACTGTAAGTTAAAAAGAATTCTTAAATTATTGGGTAAAAACTTACTGGTTATTATTATTTTACTCTTTAAAATTAACAAGATTTGTGAGAAATTCTAAGAATATCTTGATCCCGTTATCCCGGGATTGAAATCCCTAAAAGTCACATACAAATTTGGATCGACCTTTTAAAGATGATTTTTACGCGCTCTTTTGAAGTATATGGCAAATGCCAAATCTAGAACAAAATTTTTTATGACGCAAAAAATTCTTTTTTTTGATGATTTTTCGTATGATTTGAACTTAAGCAGATTTGATCAAACTTTTCACATGGTAATTTGCTAGTAATTTGCAATTAAATAAGAAGTGTAATTTACTAGCAGTAAGTTGTTTTAATAATAACTAGTAAATTGCAAGTTGTAGAATAGAAAGACTATAGTGTAATTAGCTTTTTGCAGTTACTGATTTAAATTATGATTCGAGGATTATTGGTCACATGTCTTTCATTTTAAACCTACCTTCTGTTCTGTGTACAATCAATTGATTGTTCCTCTATAATTTCTTTATATTTCTTTATACAGAAGCTTTATGCTTCTGTCATTTTGAACCAACAAATTAGGATTATTAATTTTTATTCTTTTATCTTTTTAGAACGCATGTCCGCCAGTTCTTGCTTTCAAGTATAACAATTTGCTGGATTTCTTGAAGGATCGTCCACATCACATCAAAATAGATTTGCTGAAATTATTTCAAATTTGGTCAGACTGTTATGGTCAAAAAGATACTGGCTTGAAAGTTCGCGATAATCTTGACAATATGCCATTTCTGAAGCTCGAGATGGATAAATTTTTGGAGTTTAGACAAAAGGTAAGGAATTATTTTATTGCCTTCAATCAAACTCATACTTAAGGTATGATAATAAAAAGTTTCGTGATTTCGCTTAAGTGTAGGTTCAATTCTAAGCTGTGACAGTTCTTATTTGCTGTTGAAAATGTGTCACATAGAGTTGTTAAAACAGCTCAATCGATTGTCACGCACTTGCGAACTTCAAAATTGGTCTCATTATTAGCTGTTCTTATTTCCCCTTCATAAGTTGTAGAAATGTCTTAAATAAGTGATGCATAAGCCGATGCTCCGTTGTATTAAAATCACACTTGCATTTTGAATTTTCTAACCTTACTGATAAAAATTTTTTAAAAAATTACAATACTGACAATATTTTAAATCCAATTTTTTCATTCACAGTCTGACAGTTTATGCCCAAGTCAGGATCAAGTCAATTGCGGTGATCAACAAAATGGAAAGGCTCTAAAGGATAAGAAAAAGTGCAATATCTTTAACAGATCAGCAAAGAAACTTCGTTCATGTACAAGAACGTTTATTCTCAATCTTGATCATCTTATCTTTTTTGTGGACATGATTGGGTCCATGCCTGGTGAGCGAACTTTTCACTTTTTCTCGCTGTGTTTAAGGATGTTCCATTAATTAAAGGGTTTATTTTGTGTTAATGTAATGAGAGGGGTTTGAATTTTTCAATTTGTAAGGGTATTTTTTTGTAAATGGAGGCATCTAGTCGGTTGTTTTAACGTAGGGAAACACAATGATTCAGTTTTGAAAAGAATGTTCAAAAATTCAAAAATAATAAGTTAATTAAACTATGTGCTTCAAATGTCAGATTAAAGAACGTGGAAAATCCAAATAATTTTTTTCTGATGCAGAATTAATTGGTTAATAATAATCAGAACAGTTTGATAAAAAATCTCAGGATAATCTTCGGATAATCCACTTGCTAGGATAATCTTTTTTTGTGAAATCTATCGTCAAAAATTATTTTCTTTAAATTAATTTTTTCTGATTCACCGTGCAGTTTAACGAGGTAAAAAAAAATATGGATTATCCTCGAATTGAAAAAGTGGATAATCCGATCGATGCATAATCCACGTTAGTGAAACAGGCCGAATGTGTCTGAAAAATATTGTGCACAAGGGTTATTTGAACATTTTTTTCAAATCTGAATCATTGTTCTGGGGGATTCACTTTGTAATTTTTAAGAAATAACGACTAGATGAATTTTTTTAATGTTCTGTGGGATCCTGGTTGGGTAATCGTCCCGTTTTAATTTACTGGGTTGATGAGAAGAGCCTACAAAAATTTATACAAGAGCGTCGCCTCGTTGAACCCAAGGGAAGGGATCTCCTTTTTTCAGGATTATCTGGACATGAATTAATTTTATGACACGTTCGAGTTTTTGACTTTAATTTTTTCTCGAACGAGGCTTATCCACTTTAAAAAGGTTTTTGAACTTTTGGGGGTTGAGGGTGGGCTGTCAAAAAAAAAATCCTGTATGTTCGTTTTATCCTGTTTACTAATCCTTCTTTTTCACTTAACTTTGTATTTGGTGAAATTTTCCAATTCATTCACAACAAATACTTCCGGGCCGCTGAGAGTCATAAAAAGATCTTTGCCCAATAAAGCCTGAACGTGAGCTCTCTATTCATGACTCTAAGCCATGCCGTACGGTGTTACAGCTTGTTCTTGTTGGTTTGGAGGGGACGTAAAGACCAGTGGTATTGAAATTCGTTGACTCACGGCGGTATTGATCTTTATAGAGGCGCTTCCAGATGGGTCACACACCCTTAATGATAGATGCATCACGGCATTTAATGTAATCTATTTCGGTAGAAAAGAGGCCGACAAACAGAAGTTTTGAATTGAATTGGATTATTTTGGATTTCAAAGTTTTTGAGTTTCAACTTTTATGACTCGAAATTTTCTTGATTTTGGAACTTTTGTAATGTGAATTTTTCATGTTTCAATTTTTGGAATTAGAATTTTTCGTGCTTCAATTCTTAGAATTCGAATTTATTTAACAATATTGTTCAGTCTTTACGTTTTGATTACAAAACTAAATCGTATCACTGGAAGCCCATATAATTTAACAGCATCGAATCATTTTATGACACAAAAATTATCGCTTGATTTTCAAGGAATACTGAAACATTTTCGATTAGTTTTATCGGTTCCGCATCCTTGTATTCGTTGGACATCACATGCTTACGTTTCAATTTCTCTATCTCTCTGAATGTCCATAATTTATTGCCATTTCCTCCTATTCCTGCATCTTACTGGCTTGCGCTCTAGTCCTGTCTCTGCTGCTGTCATTCACTTTTTTGACATGCTTTTTTTTGTGTAGATTCATCCTCAATCTACATCATAATATTCTTGCTGAAAATGTTATAAACATATATGTGCATAGGCTGTGACTATAGAGAAAGGAAGAAACATCAATTCGAGTTGTAGTCAGGGATTATTGATTAAACTCGAAGATTACGTGATGAGACTAGATATTTCTTCACAAGGGATGAAGACAGAAGAAAAAGAAAGAAAGAGAAAAAAATTGAAATAATTTATCATTTTCTACAGCATAGCGGTAATATTCATTCATCAATCTAAACTTTCAGAAGCTCAACTCCTCAATAAGAAAGTACTTTTCTTATTCTCATCTCAATGCCCAGATTTGTGTGTGAGTTTAAGATGGCATAATAACGCAAATAGGATCAATATGTTCAACCTAAGGGGAATTGGAGTTGAAGAGAAATGTTTTAGAGTTCTGTAGCCATTTATATTGTAGATCATAGATTTCAAAGGATTTAAAGGATCTAAGGGGATCAAAGGAACAAAGGATTAAATTTCGAAAGATCAGACTGACTCGATCAAAACTGAGATAACCTGTAAAAAACTGATGGAATTGGATCTAAGCCAACTAAAGTTGTTCAAAATCTACTGAATTGGTTCAAAAACTGAAGGAATCGGTTCAAAACTGAATTTTTTTTTTATAAATCATCTGAATTGGTTCCAAATCTGTTTTAACAAATCTTCTCAAGATGTTTCTCACACCATGCAATTCACCCCCCCCCCCCCACCCCCATCCCAACCTCTTCATCACAAAGTAGCTTTAACTTCGGAGCTGTTCAATCCGATTGTAATTTAAGAATATCTCTTTTCAAGGATATTTTCTTTTAGCCACGGAAGAAAAAGTTTCTTTTATTCGCAATCGAACGATTTGTAATTTTTTTTTCAATTTTTTTCTGCTCGTTTTATTTGATATGCTCTCTCTTAAATTTATGTCTAACTCGACAATTGAGGCGAGAAAAAACTTTTAAATTGCTTTCCGATTGCATGCAAAAGAAAAAAAATCTTCTTTTATTTTTATTTTATTTTCCAGCAAGCTTAATATGCAGAAAATGTGTAGATATTGAAAAATATTTTTTTATGTGCTCTAAAATAAGTTTTACCTTTTTATTCCAATTCTCCCTCGAAATTTGCATGCAAAATGTGATAGAATTGGAATTAAGTGAACATTCAGCATGAGAAAAATAAAAGAAATGAGGAAAGAACTTGGAAAGAACGTAATCGCATTTGGACATGTAGATTGATTGTTCGGAGGAAAGAGGAAGCAAAGTTTTAACAAAAAAATCTGCTCAATCATGAAGAAGGTTTTAAGAAGCTTTCAGTCGTGATAGATTTATGCTTATATACATAAGTCATTGGTATGATAATCAGATATCAAGTTGAATGATAGTTTTGAAGTTTTAAGCGGATTTCCGATGAGGGAATTTTTAATAATATTCAATTTAGTTACTTTTTTGCTAGGTCAGACTTGCTGATATAATTTAAATTTTGCAGAATGAATAAAAAACTTTGTCGTAGGTAGCTTAATGCTGAGTTTTTAAAAAAGCTTTTGTTTAATTCAATTTACTCATTTGACATTGTGGCTAGATGGGATTGGATGAATATAGAGCTTGAACTTTATGAAATGACTCTGCAAATCAATCTAGATGACATATTGCAGTTTATAGAGTAAGGGGTAATTGTCATTAACATGGTTAGACCACATCTCGAAGTCAAGTTGAATTTTTAACCAATTTTTAACTTCGAACTCAAGCTTATGCTTGACTCTGGACTTGACAAGGATAATTCACAGATAAATTTGATCATTGCAATGAAAGAAACAGTTCCAAATGACATACAACATAGTAAAGTCCCAAAATATTTGCACCAGACTAGCTGTCATCAAATCTTCCTCCACGCTAGTCTTCAGTAGCCATTCTGGTATCAATGGCTCTTCTTAGCCTTTTCTCCACTCAAGCACCTGTGTAGCGTCTACAATCTCAAAAATAAAATTTACTTTCTATTGAATTTATTAGAAAAAGACATGTCTGTTGTGTTATCAGTTCTTCCAGACTATTAGTTCTGTTCTTTTTGTTCAAAATGGCAGGTAACATTTGCAGTGACTATTTCTCAATGATTGTCATACTGTAACATAAAATTTTAATATTCCTTAAAATCCTGAAAAAATTTAAAATTCTACACCTAGATCAATCAATTCACATCGTCTCCCACATCCATCATCGATCATTCATAGCTAATTTAACAACAAAATAGCTTCCTTTTTCCGTTTCCATTGTAATTCCTTCAATCCTCATCGATATCCATAAACACAATTCTCAAAGGACATTATCCATTTTTTCTGCATTGTCATTCGATTCATCGTTTCAATTAACAAAAGCACCTGGCATCATATCACAATCCCATCCATTATTCGACCTTCCCGTCCTTCAAGCTGTATTATTGGAAAATTGCTTTAATGTTAAAAACAGAAGCTGATTATTTTCTCTCATTGCAATCACATCCTTTTTTCGCATTTCATATTCTATTTCATTCGTCGATAATGTTCATGTGAGATTTAGTCAAGGGGGATAACAACTTGATTAGGAACTTCAACTGATTCTACATTAACATATTTGTGAATTCTGTGAATCTTTCTATCGTCACGGGAAATTATTAAAAATTTCTCTCAAAAACTTTTTCTTATCACATTGTTATCCCCTTAAATTTAATCCTTTTTTTGCCTCCTCATTGTGCATCACAATCCGTAATTTGTATCTATTGCCAATTGGCAAAATGTGGAAAGAGATTGAGAGGATGAGACGGGCAAAAAAAATATTTGTGGATGGAGAGGAAGGATGAAATTCAACCGGGAATAATACCAAAAGCAAGTACAAATGAAGAGGAAAAAAATAGAAATTAGAAATTGTACGAACAAAAAAAGTTTTCATTTTTAATTAAATTTTTTGAAATCACCATTTAAATGAATATGTATAAAGGTGGGACGTAGGAACGGGAAACAAGATAAAAATTGATTGCAAAAGTTTTTAATTTCATGCATTTCATTTGAACACAAAAGTTTTCATTTAAAGCGGCTTATGATTCGAATTTTGAATAATAAAAAAATCCCACTGCATTCATTAATGAAATGTTGAGGCAAGGAAATTTTATGACATTTTTTCGGATTTCCTTTTAGGTGTGATAACAACAGTGAATGGGTTCTTGAAATCAAAAAAAAAAATCGATTGAAAATCGTGGGATCTCAAAGTGGAACCTAGGGTATCGAGCCTTGTTTAAGCGAATTGGCCAATGCGAGAGGTGGGCTTCTGTGTTGCAAGTGGCTAGGAAACAACCTGCTTTGTAATCCTATTTTGCAAGAACGTGGGTTCGATTCCC